GTTTGTGATACTTGTCCAAAATCATTCACACATGGTAAAATTGCTTGGGCAAGCAACATGAACCCAAAAGAGCTTAATTTCCATATCTTTGTAAAGTTGTCATCAATTACCAAAAAGGGAGAGATTGAAAGGTCCTTGTGTGGTTTTGGTAATTGAGTGACAACCTAGGTGGACTAATTGTGTTTATGTGAGATACACAGGTGATTAGGCCACATGTACATGTGTGTGAGCAACATATGCCATGGAGGTGGAAATGGCTCAAAAATGTTGCAAAGCTCACACATGTGATGATGAAGGAGCTTATTGTACATGAGACATGACATTGAGTCATGTGATCAAGGTGGAGAAGATAAAGACAAGACTTGGCTTGATGGACCGGTTGCAAGCGTAAAGGGCAAGTCGGAGGCTTTGGAGCGATGGACCGCGTGGCGGTGAAGCTTGAGCAAGACTTGGCACCGATGGACGAAGGCAATGGTGAAAAACAAGTGAAGTCAAAATTGATGAACCAATATGATCACGTGATGATATGAAGTGGATCATATCATTGTAGATCGTGTTGGTGCATGTGTTGCATCGACATTGGAGGAGATGAAATGGAATGCGCAAGGCAAAGGTATAACCAAGGGCATTTCATTTCACCGGTCATAGGTGTATAGAGAAGTTGATGACCGGATTTAGGATAGATGGACATACTATCAAGAGGGACAAACTTATTTGCATATCGGTCATCTAGTGTCACTTGAGTGATCTAACGTTGCATCATCGCTAGGATTGAGTGGCGTGGCAAGTTGAGTGGCTAATCCTTTAGAAAATGATTATAAAAATGCTAACACACATACACATGGTAGTGTACACTTGGTGGTGTTGGCACATTTACAAAGAAGAAGAAGTTGGAGTTGATGTGGATTAACTCGGTAAAGAAAAGAGTTCAAAACTTCACCAGCAGAGTGTCCGGACAGTCCAACGGTGCCACCAGCGCCCTGTATAGAAAAGATAGGGTTTCATAGAGTGCACCAGACGCTGGTCATGCAGTGATCGGACACTGGGGTCCTACGTCCGATCAGTGGCAGCAGTGAAGGCGCAGGCGTTGGTCTTTGACCGGACACTGGGTCACTTTGTGACCAGACGCTGGGTGGGTGCGTCCGGTCCTGCTGACGTGGCAGCACAGAGAAGAGGAGAAAGGATCAGACGCTGATGCTGCGTCCGATCATGACCGACCAGACGCGTCCGGTCGCAAAACAGAGGCTCGGGGAGCTCTCTAAAAATGACCGGACTCTGGTTGGTCTGCGTCCGATCGTGCAGCAGCGGTGCGTCCGGTCGTGAATGGAATCTCTCCAGAAACGACCGGACTCGATAGAGGTGCGTCCGGTCTTGGCATTGTGCTGCGTCCGATTATCACTTGACCGTTGAGATCAAGCGATTGAGGTTGATCGGAGGCGACACATGGCGTGCATCCATTGACCGGACGCTGGCAGGGTGTGTCCGGTCGATCTGACCGGAGCGTCCGGTCACCCCGAGCTATGCCCAGTGAAGGGGTACAACGGCTCTATTTTCATGGGGGCTATAAATAGAAGTGCTGGTCGGCTTTTGGCCGAAAGCTTTGTAAAGCTGAGCACACTAGAGCCTAGGTGGCTTATGTGGTAGTGTTTGGGAGCCCTCTAACTCACTCTAGCTTGATAGTGTTCATCCGATTGAGTGAGTGAGCAATTCTAGTGCGATTGCATCGTGAGATTGCATCGAGTGGCACTAGGTGATCGAGTTGCAAGCCAGTGGTGCTTGTTACTCCTAGAGGTTGCCACCTTTTAGATGGCTTGGTAGTGGTCTCCGTCGAAGCCCACAAGAAGCTTGTGCGATGCTCTAGAGAAGAGCTTTGTGAGGGGCATTGTGCTCGCCCCGCGGGAGCCGCGAAGAGCAACTCTAGTAAAGTGTGTCATTGAGCTACCCTCACTTTCAGGGTAGGTTCTTGCTGTGTCCGATGTGTGGGCTTAGCGGGTGATGCCAATTAGCCACCGAACCACCAAGTGAGTGGTCGACACAACGGGGACTAGCGTGTTGGCAAGCACGTGAACCTCGGAAGAAAAATCACCGTGCCAACATTGTTCTTCCCGTTAGTTTGCAATCCTCTTACACAAGCTTGTAATTACTTTCATATACTTGTTCTTGTTTAGTTGCTCTTGTAATTAGTTAGCTTGTGTAGCTCACTAGTTATCTTCTTGCTTGTGTAGCATAGAAGTAGCTCCCTTGCGTGGCTAATTTGGTTTGTGTAACCTTGTTAGTCATATTATTTAATTTTTGTAGCTAAGTATTTGCGCTCTCTAATTTGGCATTGATTACCTTGTTATTGAGCATTGCTAGTGAGCTTAGGTGGCTTTGTGCTTTTGCTTACTAGCATGTGTAGGAGCTCCCTCGTTGCTTAAAGTACTAGTGGCATAGCTTCGTGTAACCTTGCTTCTAGAAATGGTTAGGTGAGCTCTAGCTAGCCCGACACCTTTGTTGCTTAATTAGGATCTTTGCAAGGTGTTAGAGAATATAGATAGAGGGGTATAGTCTTGGCTAGACCGATTGTTTTAATTCCGCATTTATTTCGGTTAGCCGGCGTGATTAAGTTTTAGAAACGACTATTCACCCCCTCTAGTCGCCATCTCGACCCTACGGCAGGTAGGGCTGGAGGGATATTTATTTATTTATTTTTCATTTGCCGTTATCACCGTTGGCGCCTCTTCAAAATTCTATACCCCTCCGCTCTAAATTAAGGGGATGTTTAAATCCAGGAGCTAAAGTTTAGGGGTGTCACATCGAGTGTTTTGATAGTAATAATGAAATAAATTACACGAGTCATCAGTAATCCGCGAGACGAATTTATTAAGCCTAATCAATCCGTCATTAGCACATGGTTATTGTAGCACCACATTGTCAAATCATGGACTAATTAGGATTAAAAAATCATTTCGCAAATTAGTCTCAATCTGTGCATTTAGTTTCGTAATTAGTCTATATTTAATACTCCATGCATGTATCAAATATCCGATGTGATAGGGGCTAAAGTTTTAATCTATATTTAGTTTCATAATTCTATGTTTTACTCTAGTTGAAGAGACCAATGTTAGTGAAAAAAATTACACATATACTCATATAAAAATATAATCGGTGCACCTAGAGAAGAGAGAAAGTAAAAAAGATAACTAGAGTTAGTAGTGCCATACCTGAATTACACTTATTTTGGATAAATTTTGAACTCTAAAAGTACACTTATCATGGAACAGAGGAAATTTAATATTATAGATGCAAAATTTATATCCTATTTTTTTGGCTTGTTCCCTGCCTTGCATTTTTTTCTCCTCCACGTTTCCAATTTGTTTTCTTTTTTTTTGTTATGCTCAGCTTTCAAGTTTATAATTTAAATTTATTTTTGTTTTTTTTACCATTGTGCTCATTTTTTTTTATTTTTTCGGTTGTTTCTATTTTTCTCTCTAAAAGTTGTTTTCATTTCTCTCTCCACTCCGGTTTTGGCACCGATTTGTTGTCTTGTAATTTTTCGCCTCCTTCACATTTTCAATCTGTTTTCATTTTTTCTTATCCTAGGTTTGTATGTTTCTGATTTGTTTTCATTTTTTACCATTCTACTCATTTTTTCACTTTTTTGTTTGATTGTTTCCGGTTTTTCTCACTGGTAGTTGTTTCCATTTTCTCTCTTATTTTTGTGTTTTTATTCTTTGTTTCCCTTGGTTTTTGGAACTGATTTTCTGTCCATTCCTTCGCTTCTGATGTTTTTTGTCTTATATATAGTAAAAGCGAATAATAAATACAATATTATGGGTCTCTAAACCATTGATCTCTCATTGAAAACAAAGATTTACATCACTAAATTGTTGATGTACTTGTATTTGTCGAAACATCCTTATTATAAACATATCCTAATCAAATCGTGAACTGAAATCTTAAGCACTTTGTTGTCAAACTCAGTCTAAATAAATGTATCTCTGTAAACCCCGACGAGGACTATTTTGTAAAAAATTGAGAGAGGTCTCCTTCGTAATAATCAGCAGACAAACCAACCCTTGATATATCAGTAACTAACTCCTTGCTAACTTTAATCCTATATTAAAATTATATATTTTTATGGGCCCTAAAAAAGTCACGAAACTCAATATTTAATTGTAATAACACATGGATATATAGTATGAAAAATTAAAGTTATGAAATATTTATGTGCTTTGGAATCAGAGAAAAAAAATCTATCAGGATTATATTGTAATTCAATATAGATACACTGTCATATTATTGTTAACATTAACGTATACTCCCTCCGTTCCATTTTATTTGGCGTAAGTTAGATTGACACGGTTTCTTAGATTACACTTTGACAATTTCATTTGTTTTATATTATATTGTTTATGCTTATAAACTTATAATCATTGGATAGTATAATTCCTTACAAATCTAATCACATAAAGTTTGTATTATAATAGTTAAAAATTATTAGTCTAATTCTTGGTCAAAGTTTTTAAAGTTTGAATCTTGATATGCGTGTGCAGGATAAAATGAAATAGAGGTAGTATTATAGATTTTATGGTCATCATAAAATAAATTATAGATTTGAAATTTTATAGAGAGGATCGAGCATAAATATAAAATCGATAAATACCATTCTCATTGTCTTTTGTCATTAATTAATATTTGACAGTTTTTTCTTTGCAACTCACAGATATATTTGCTATTAACAATATAAGAACAAAATTGATACGGAAGCAGCGCCTTCAGTTTTTCAATCACCACTGGAACGAGATGCTGTAGTACAACATTAACCCCTACATTTTTACATCGCGCATAAGAACGTAAACTTTGTGTTTTCACGGGAGCTTCGTGGAAACAACTCGACAGACTCGTGTGATGCCATCCTGATGAAGTGTTCTACACAGCCGTAGAGCCTACATACGGATCGGACCACAGGATAACAAACAACCAATGAAAGAATGCCTGGCTGACGAAACTAGCTAGATTCACGCAACAAGGTTCTTCCCGCGCGGCAGGGAGACGCTGCGCCGGATGTCCGGCGACGGCATATTGGTCCTCTCGGCGTACGGCGGCTTGCTCCAGTTCCGGCGTTGCCTTCCTTCGGTCAGAGGCTCCATCTCCCGGACAGAGGCCCTGACACTGCAAGGAAAAAACAAGTATGTGAGTTTCATCATCTGTCAGTCTATAACCTACTATAAATCCGCATTTGGGAATGTCAAGTATACCACAGTAACCACACAGAGTAGTGAAAAGATGCAACGACGAGGGAGACAGAAATAGCTGCTGAACCATACCTGATATCTATGTTCTGGGACTGTCTTGTCACCTGTGTGGGTAACTTCTTCGCCTTTCGGTTGAAGTGGAAAGTGGGTTCATCGCCTGCAAACTCGTTTTCGATTTCGGACGAGTCCCTCGTGCTCCTGATCTCTGATTTCAGTTTGGTACCCGAGTGTCTGTTTGCCGATTTCTCTTCATTGTGAGCCTTTGGTGTACTCTCAGACCTGTTCTTCACCATGCTTTGCCGGATAGGCGGAATTTTGGTTCTGTTCTCTTCAGAGTCCCGGAATTTGCGCAGACTCTGAGCTGTCAGGACAGATGAAGGTGTGTTCTTCGAGTTGCTGGACAATACTTTTGGAGGCACTTCGACCTTTGATATAGGTGTGCAGTCGATGCTTCCAGTGTTCTCCACGATTTTGGCAAAGCTGCCTCTCTCAGCAGAGAGTGAACTTCTAACTGGAGGAGATGGAGTCTTATACTTTCGCGCACTCAGGTACAATTCCCTGCTGATGACAGGTGACTTATCATCTAGCTCTCTCACTGACAATGGTGAACGGAACCTTCTTTGCTTGCCAGATGATGAACTTCTTATCTGTCAATGAGCCAAGTTATATCTTTAGGATCATGCATACATGTATCTTTTAAGATGTGAGCAATTGTGCTGCAACTCCAGAAACTGTAAGAGTATCGTAGTGAAAAATAAACATAAGAATTTTCAGAGAAACAAAGTACCTCACTTGTACAGGGGTCTACACTGGATTCTTGACTAGCTTCAGGTTTCAAGGACATGCTGGTGGTTAAAGGTGATCTTGTTCTTGCATTTCTCATCTCAGAAGTCACACGGTTAGCAATATCTTTAAACTGTGCCACTTCATGTTCCTTTTCATCTAATGCCAATTTAAGCTTGGCAATCTGACAAAAAATAATTCTTATACTATGAGTTACAAAATCAAAGTTCTAATGGTATTTGGTAATTATTACTCAATCCATCCCAAATTGTAAGACGTTTGACTTTTTTTACACCAAGTTTGACCACTCGTCTTATTCAAAAATTTATGTAAAATATCACTTCTTTCGTCGTGGTTTGGTTTATTAATAAAAATTCTTCAAGAATGATTTAAATTTGACTATATTTGTACAAATTTTTTGAATAAGACGAGTGGTCAAACTTAGGGCCAAAAAAGTCAAACGTCTTACAATTTAGGATGGAGGGAGTATAAAACAACATCATACCTCTTCCTTTAGGTCTTTGACCTGGCCTGCTTCCTTATTTGCACGGGCGGCACCAAGTTCTATTGTAGCTACACGCTCAGCGAATTTGAGAGTGCTCATTGTTTCACTAAAAGAGTCTGTTTCAGGGTTCACATGCACAAACATCAATGTTTTTGCCTGACCACCTGTATTGAAGGGAAACAAGTGGTTAGAAAAGTATTTTTGACAACAGCATCTCCAACAATACAAGGGCTTTTAACAATACCTAAGGCATCCTGCAGCACTTGTGTTAACTTGCTATTTCTATATGGAACATGAGAACTCTTTTGGGCAAGTGCAGATATAACATCACCAAGTGCTGATAGCGATTTGTTTATGTGCTTGGCTTCAATTAGTCTTTCTCCAGTCGCTTCAGATTTGTCTACCCTCTCACTTCCCGCGAGATCCACTAGATGCAGGCACCCTCTTAGAGTTGAGCCCGAAATTACCTCCTTTCCTTGTACATGAACTGTCAACACACTAAAAAAAAAAGCAATACAGTTACCAACAATACAGTGACACTAAGTATACCAGCCAGATAAACCAAAAGAATGCATAAACTGGAGAATGAGGTAACGCAGTTCTTTGCGTTCTTTGGATGACCTTTTATTTCTAGAATTGGGTTTTGATGCCTTTGATGCCGGATGATACATTCCATTATCTAAAAAAAAGATAAATCAAGAGAGAGTATCTCTAAGACAGATAAGTTTAAGAGGACTACTGATTATATGACCTTATTCTCTGCCAAAGTATGGTGCATGAGTTCAAGAATACCTGTGTGAGCGGCTACTTCGTTCATTAAGAGCAGTTGACCCAACTGCTCTGTTTCTCTGGCCAACTTTCATCAGATCCAAAACATCTTGTGCGCACTTGACTGGCACAATATTTGCATCTGGGATGTTGAGTCCATTTACATGAGAATTATTGCGTATCTCTAATGTGTTTCATGGTTAAGGAAATAAAGAAGAAAATGCATGAAAACAAACTTTTGAGCAAAGCAAAAAAAAAGGCTAGGCAAATTAATGTATTTCATATTATGTTAAACAGAGGGAGATTTTCAGCATGAAATACATATCAGTTACTATTTTCACTATGACAACTTCATATTATGATTTTTATTATTCAGAAATAATAATATAACTTGACATAAAAAAGGATATCTTTTGTTTGCACCATCCGTCATTAATAAATCCCTCACTTGTTCATTGTATATTTCAATCATCTGAACTTTAACATCATACGTAATGGAATCTGCTCTTGTTTGAGAAATTTCAAACAAATCATTCAACGACCGGTAGTTTACACCCCAGGTTTCTTCTGCTGTTACATCTGGACCGCTCTGAATAGGACATACAAAATAACTTATTATGAAAATTAATAAACTTGATGGTATGCAATGAAAACAAATATTTTCTATGAAGATGATGTTGTAGTTCTCTACCCAAAGATAACTACTCTCTTGTTACACTATTGTGCCCCTGATTTGAACTTTCCACACAAATGTCATCCTTTGAAGCAAAAATACTAATGAAGTTCTAAGAATTTTTTTCCTGTGAAGAATTACCATTGTGTAAGTTTTCCCAGATCCCGTTTGACCATATGCAAATATGCATACATTATATCCATCCATGACAGATCTAATCATTGGTTGGGTATCAGCAAAAACTTCAGCTGTTACCAAAAAAAAAATCGAAGTCAGAAACATGAGGCAGATTGAGAGTAGGCACAAAAAATACACAATGAAAATTATGAGAGTGATTATCTACATTGTGAAGCACTAGGTCCAAATATTTTGTTGAATGTGAATATTTTCCGTCCATCCTTCCCTTGCTTTTGAGGATTCGCAATCAGGATTTCTCCGTTTTCCCCAATATGATCAACAGTAGACCTTTGATCAGATTGTGTCTTTGGGAAAGGTTTCACTCTGCAGTAAACTCTAATGTTACCTGACAATATGTACTTTCTGGGATAGTTAGTAACCAAATATCTTTGCTACTAGTAAAATGAAATTAAAAAAATCGAATCTGCATGTTACCTTTAAGATCTTGTACTTGGTTATACAGCTTACGATTTTCCTCAAGCAACTTGCGGTAAGCATTATGGTTCCGAGCCTCAAAGTAGCTTTCTAAATTTTTAAAATGTTGGTTTCAGAGATGATGGAACTAAAGGTTAAAATGTTAAGTTCAAATTCCAAATCCAGTACCGACCTAGCCTCCTCAAGTCTTCCGCCCAGTCAGCACGAGTCGATTCAACTTGAAGCTTCATTTCATTGAAGGACATCTTTAATTTCTGAATTTTAAAATGCCAATAAAAGAAATTATTAAAGTGCAACAATGCACACATGGCTTTACAATTGCTGTAGTTTCATATCTTGAGTAATCATGATGTTAAAAAAGGGTTCAGTTTTCAAGAACAAACATAAGTCATTCAATTAGAGAACTAGAAAAGGGGTTCCTAGTATATGAAGCATGCAGCTGACAGTACATCAGATTTTTGTTAATGCTACAAGGAAACAATTAATAATTCTGATTCTGCATTCGACATATTGCCAGGTAACAAGCTCACTGGCACATATAATTTTGGCATGGTCTTTACCTCCAGCTCTTCTTGTTGGCTTTCAAGTAATCCCTCATCATCCAAGTGTTCATGGCTGCCACGAGGTAATCTCAATGAAGAGAGCATGCACTCACTATTCTCCTTCAGGCATTTTGAAATAGTTTGGATCAAATTCATTTTAGAAAGAGTTCCATTGTCATCCTTCATCATCTTCCTTAGAAGTGACCTGACCTGTTAGAAATGGATGCCTTAAAGTAAGTAATAATTTATTGTCATGGATGTTTTAGTTTCCATGGCTACCAGTAACAAGACTATTTTTAAATTTTGTAAACGCTTTTCCTCGAGAAAGGAATATATGTGTCAATATTACGTGCATAGGGGGCTACATCATCATAACAAAGACATGCAAGCAATAGAAATTAAATTTTCCATCTTTTATCAACAATACAGTACCTGATTTCTGTGAGAAGCAAGCAAAATGGTAAATTCTTTACAAGCTTGCTCGAGTACTGTTTCGATGACCTGCAATATTCACCACCATATGAAAGTTCAATCCAAATATCATTGTGGTCAAGGTTTGGCATCGACGACGGCATTATCCTGACATCTACTAAGAGGGACACAACAAGACAAGAATAAGCAGAACTCACCTACCATATCATCTAGAGGCAAATCTTCAGCTTCACCCCATTCCAGAAGGAATGCTCGCACAACTTGAAGAACAAAGCGCTGAAAAAGAGAATGCTGAGCTTCTTCAACTCTAGATTCCTCTAGAGAGACCTCAGAGAGAAGATGCACAAATTCCAGCATTTGTTGGTCTGAGCCTCCACCTCTGTTTAAATGTGAAGCAGGCCTTTTGCTTGAGGATGCAATTTTCACGATGCCACCATACCGCCATATACCAATGCCACCTGAGATCTTCCACTCGTGGTATCCCTTGAGGCAGAGTATGCAGTCGACAACTTTCATTGATGAACCTCCCTGTAAGCATTGTATAGGTGGATTCAGATTAGACTAGTTTAATGTAGTGAGTAGTGAGGTAAGCCATAAGTTTGATCTAAACAGAAAGGTGAAATCCTAGGATTCTGTATCTACTATGAGCTAGCAAACGACATAATGGGGATTTTCTTGATTGAATAATTCAACCTATATATGGATTCACTGTATAATACTCGGGTAAGAAAAATAGAATAACTACAGTTTTCATGAGAAACAGCAACCTATTTTCTTCCAAATGGACAAAACAATTCAGCTAACCCCTAATAAGCCTTACAGTTGAGCAAATCAAACTGCCCTTGACACATATGTAGCAACAATGGGACCAATGCAACTCAACTATTTACCTTCTCTATATCAGAGGTTTCAAACGTCAACAGGTTCATCGCACTAACTGCAACAAGGAAGTTCCTCATGTTCTCGAAGTACTGTATTGCAGACTGTGCTGGCCCATCGAACGTTTGAACCGTGATGACAGGATTCTCCACAACCTACGGGCAGAAGAAGAAAGAAAAACTTATTACTGTCACGAAAAGTAGTGACATTTTTTCTCCACAATTTTGTTGACACGCACCTTGGGGACGGCACCGGGATTGACGCGGTTGAGAACCTTGCAGAGGACGAGGCCGTTGCGCAGTGCCGCGCAAAACTCCTCCTCGGACGCCCTCTCCGGCAGGGACTCTGCCGCCGCGGGCTCCATCTGACGCAGCCATCGCGCCGCCTCGCACCTCCGCGCAGCTGCAGCGGCAACACAGAGAGGTCACATTTCCGCATTTGTAACAGAGTAGCAGTATCCGGGAGAGTAACGGTAAGGGAATTTTGAAATATTACTTAGGACCTCGGGAGCGCAGATTTATTGTTGAATTGTGAATAACGATAAGGGAATTTTGAAATATTAATGTATTGTATAAATCACCACCACTGCGGATCACATCATCGAGAATTAATGTCGCGTGTTACGTGAATGCAGCACACTACTAGCTTAACTAAACGTAATATATTAATGCTTCGGTGATCTATTTCCTCTCCATGTTCGCACATACGCACTGCTTGCCTTTGTGGGAGGCAGTGTGTTTAATTGCAGAGGCGTACGATCAGCAGAGCACAGTAATTACACTCCCGTGCAGTACTAATCCACTTGCTAGCAGCTGCCGTGGAAATGCCGTGACCGAGCTTCTCCACGACCGCCGCCGCCGCAGCTCAGCTCGCCACCACCGAAGCACCAAAAGCACGCGGCGGCCAAAGCCGCGAGCGCGGACCACCCACCCGGCCGCACGCACGACACGACGAGACAGAACAGAACAATAGAACGAAGCAAATGCGAATGGAACACCACTCCCCCCATTCCGCCATTCGCATGCGCGATCGGGGACGGGGAGCACTGTGAGTCGACTCACCGGCTTCCTCGGCCTTGCGCAGCGCCATCCCCACGTCGTGCGCTCCAGCAGCCGGGGCCATCGCCCTCATCACGGCAGCGAGTGGGCGAAGTCGATCTCTCGCCTTCTCGCGCCGGCGACTCCGTCCGCCGTCCTCGCTCGCCCCTCGCGGATCGCAGCTCGGCTCCGCACACGCGCTCGCAACGGCAGGGACGAGCGAGCGGTCCACAGAGCCAGGGGCGTTTGAAAAGCTCCGACCCCGAGGCAGAGGGCAGTGCGGGGCCTCTTAACGGAAACTCCCCAGGGGGGGCGCTCGAAATATTTTCAAACTCGCAGGGGGGCTAACGCTAACTAACAGCGAGTTTAAGCGAGCCCGTGCTGACCGAGTGACCGTGCTGCTGCTGCCGCTCTGAAAGATAGGCGCATCCGCTGCGGGCCGCTGAACACGACGCAGTGGTGGTGGCCGGTGGGATCGCTACATGTGTCGGCGCCCGTATCTAGGCTATACATGTAGCCCGTGGCCCGATAGCCCGGCACGAAGCCCGCTTTTTTAGCCCGACACGAGCACGGCACGGCCCGATGGTGAGCGGACCCGGGCTGGCACGGCCCGAAGGAGCAGGCCGTGCCAGGGCCACACCCCAGGCACGTGCGCTGGCATGACACGACCCGTTATTTGGTTACGGCCCGACAAAAGGTCCGGTATATATATATATATATATATAAAAACCAACCAAACCCTAATCCCAAACTCCCCATTCCATCCCAACGCCCATACTTCCCCCCCTCCCAAACTTCTCTCCTCTCGTCCTCGCTTTCGCGCCAGACGCTGGCGTCTTGAGGTGAAGCCGACTCCTCTCGCTCCCTTGCTCGACGCAAGGTGGGCCCCGAGCTCCGCTCGCCGACGTGGTGCGTGGTGCGCCGCCCAGTGATGCCACTCCGCCGCGGGTTCCTCTCCTTCCGTCCCTCCGCAAGGTCGCATCATGGGTGCAAGCGCATCGTGCTCGAGCTCTGCCCTGCCGCTCGCCGACGCCTCGAGCTCCTGCTTCCTCACAGCCCACCTAATCCTCCCAATCCCCTTCTCTTCTCGCCGGATCTGGCGTCGAGCGTCGCCACCGCCTCCCGCCTCTCTCAGGTCTCTGGCTCTGTGGTGGGCTACGGGCTGACCCGGCCCGCTGGATGTGCCGTGTTCAACAGGCCGGCACGGCCCGAAAATCAGCCCATAGAGCCGTGCCTGGGCCGATGGCCAGGCACGAAGTCCTCTCCGGCACGGCCCGGCAGGCACGACCTGCTGTGCCGGCCGGATCCCCATCGGGCCGTGCCTGGCACGGGCCCGTGCTGTGCCGGCCCGATGGACATATATAATCTGGGCCGAGCGGGCGAGCGCAAACATGCGTGCGGGCCGGAGTCAGTCGCGTGGTGGAGTAATTTATTTGATTATTTCTGGAGCCAGCAGGGATTCAAAGTTTCAAACGCTGGATGGCTGGAGATAGCATGAAGCGCACTGCAACTTTCCGTTGCCCTTTTTTTTGGAGTATCCTTTTCGTGCCGTATGCCGGGCCTGGGAGGGATTTCGAACGGTCGACTTGGTAGATCCGGCATGTTGCAGGTCCGGTGGCAGAGGCAGCATATGGCTTTCGTTTTTTAATGAGTGCAGGTGCAGTAGATGAGAATGCGTGCACAGTACCTGGCAGCGGATTAGTGGCACTGGCAGTGCAACACCCTCCAATAGTGATGGGTATATGCACGGTGCATCTTCCGTTTTCAAATCACTCCTACTACCACACTCATGCTGCTAGGTTGGGGTTAATATCTGGTCCAGTCCTCAAGCCTGTCTTTGCTGTTTGCTCCACTTTTGAATTTCAGAAATCAGAACGGATGGTACTCCATTTTTTAATTTCAGAACGGATGGTAGTAGTTTTGGTCTCAGTGGCAGAACCAAGTTAGAACTCGGCAATGTACAGTACCTTTGCCTATCATGTGCCCTGCATATATAGGTTCCACTTTGAAAAAAAACTAGTCCATATTTTTTACATTACTTCAGAAAGAAACGATACTATTAATTTTAGATTACTTCAGAAAGAAACGATACTATTAATTTACTGGTCGACGGCATTTGTCAATATTTAGATATATCGACTCATTCTCTTAATCATGCTCGTTTTTTAAAAAAGGGCACATTTAGTTTACTCGTACGTGGCATTTGTCAAATTTTAGATAATAATGTGGGTAAGCACGTGCGCACATGGAAATATGGATTTGTGCGCCGGTATGTAAAATCTTGTGTTGGTACTATGTTTCATACTCCCCTGTCCTCATATATAAGACGTAACCACTTTTTATTCATGTATCATGATATAAGGTATGCTCTTTCTAGACGCACGTACATCGATGCAGCAGTACTAGTGTTTACAGAGAGAGTTAAGTTCGCGTTTGGTGCGGCTCTTGGTGCTCCGGCTCATGCTCCAAACACACTGCGCAACACTGCTGTACTGTAGCAGGTGAAAAACGGCTCCAGCTACTCTAAAAATAAATTAGAAAGAAGAGGAGCCGGAGAAGCAGCACATTTGGGACTTCTCCTGGCTCCGCCACAAGTGTGCTACAGTGTCGGAGCCGGGAGATGCCCCTCCAAATAGGCTCTAAATACGTTCCTTGGTCGAACCAGAGGTGGTTGCTTCATGACAAAAAGATAGTGAAAACTGTAAAAAAAAGACCTTAAAAATGTTAATGAAAAGGGAGAAAAAGAAAGAAAAAACTCACACGTGCTTACCAGGCCTTGCCCACAACTCCTGCTGGTCTAGATCGTATGGATGGCAAGTCTCTAGTACACTAGTACATTTGGTTAGTCTAATCCTTAGGCAGAGAAATGGCATGCTTTCTTTTTTAGCTCGACGAGGCAATACAGAAACTCGGACAGTGACTATATATAATTGAGCATTTCTACTTGGCGGAATGTTTTGTTCTCAAGTGTAATATTTTTATAACCTTATCTTTCAAAAAAAAATTATAACCTTTCGTTCTAGCAAAAGAAGAAGATGAAAGCTAGAGCTTTACCGGTCGTATATGTAATATATAATAACTAGCGAATATACTCGTACGTTGCAATGAAGTATGAAACATACAACTTGTCTGAGGCTTGGAGATTTATACGATGATTATGTCATTTATTTATTTAATACGTATTGGAATCAGGCTTCATATCGTGGCTACATGCAAATTATTCTAACTCGTATGAGCACGAGTGGTGAGTTTGGGTCATGAACGGGACAAAGGTCATGTTTGCTTGTCTTATAATCCGTACTTTTCAGCTTGTTTTTTATCCGAAACAGTATTTTTCTCTCACAACAAATCAGTCGGAATAGTGTTTCAGTTTATTTTTTTCCAGCGAAGCGAACGAGGCTAAAGAGAGTCTAATAGGGCATTATGGGAAGTAAAAATATGACATGCAGGAACATATCCTTTTTTGCTTTTAATAATATACTCTAAAACTTGCTCGTGTGTTACAACGGGACGTTGAACGCATCTAGGCACCAATGTGGTGAATTTGGGGTTTTAGTGATGATACAAGTTGTGACCAACATGTGTTTTACGGTGATGTTTGTATTTAAGTTAGGCCTTGTTTAAATCTAGATGCTAAAGTTTAGGAGTGTCACATCGGGTGTCACATGGGAGTGTTCGGATAGTAATAATAAAACAAATTACAGAAGTCCTCAGTACTCCGCGAGATGAATTTATTAAGCCTAATTAATCCGTCATTAGCACATATTTACTGTAGCTTTACTGTAATACCTTATTATCAAATCATAGACTAATTAGGCTTAAAAAATTCGTCTCGCAAACTAGTCGTAATATGTGCAATTAATTATTTTTAGTATATATTTAATACTCCATATATGTGTCTGAACATTCGATGGGATAAAGACTAAACTTTAGGAGAGGAACTAAACAAGGCCTTAGTCGCAATGAGAATGGCCACAAGTGCCTTGGCCCTAAGACTTGGTTCCTTGACATGGTGCAAAAGATATTCTTGAAGACTAAGGACACTATAGAGTGAATTAGGCTGTCATGCATGAAGACATTCGTTGTAGTGTGTATAAGGGTTTTGTTTTCCATTTGGCTACACTATTAAGGCAGGGTGCAAGCGTTCAATTTGAAAGAGTCGAAGCGAGAGCGAGTTGATGCATAAGAGGTAACTTTCAATCAAGTTGATGATGGTAAGTGGCCCTTTGAGATGGTTTCTAGTGGAGGATCTCAAAGAAATGAGATTGGTCAAGATTAGACTGAAAACAGGCTGAAAATCAGCGTAGAAGCATACACCGGACGATAGAGTTAATCCCGAGTGGATCGTCCGGAGATGTGTCTCCTAGACATAAGTCATTTTACCCCAGCGACCATTGAACATCGTATTATCCAGTGAGGATGGTATTGACCTTGGTGGATCATTCGGTGAAGCGTGACTTGACTGGGTGACTTGTTGGCGTCGTATGATTTGGTGGGGGACCGTGTAACCCGACAAATCATCTGAACCACGTCGTATGCTGGTATGCTCATGCTACTACCATATTTCCACACTTATACGATTCTAAAATGCTCAAATTGCCACGTTAGGATGGGAAAGATTATTTCATAACTTTAAAGGACTCACCCAAAATTTCTGAATATGTTTAATGCACATCGTAGTTGATGAATTATAATTGTATAATAACAGACACTCAAATGTTTGGATCAAAATGAGCTTGTTTTTGTTAGGGATCGCCTTGGGTTATATATAGCCGATGTCTTTTCGTTAGGGTTTGATAATCACGGGATTGACCTGGCTGACTTTACAAGAGGACAAAAACATGGTCCCGGCCACGGAAAGGATTGCTTGACTTGAGTACGTTTCCACGACGCGAGAAGCAGATGAGCAGATGGCTGGAGCGGTTAGGTTAGGTATAGTAGCACCGGTCGTAGTCGGATTTGCAGCTGCAGTGTGTGTTGGTTAATTAATTTAGAATGTACTTAATTCATCCCAAATTGTAAGACGTTTGATTTTTTTGACACCAAGTTTGACCACTCGTCTTATTCAAAAATTTATATAAAATATCACTTCTT